TCTCTCTCTCTTTCTTTCTCTCTGTCTCTCTCTCTCTCTCTCTGTCTCTCTCTCTGTCTCTCTCTCTCTCTCTCACTCTCTCTCTGCCTGTTTTTTTTTCTTCTCTCGCTACCTCTCCTCTCATCTTTTCTTTCATTCACACTGTTTGCTTTTTTCTACACAACCTATTTGGGTGGTTGGCGCGTGTTCTGGTGTGGTTTGCTCCTTTTTTTCTGTCAAACATTTGTCATCTCTATCTCTTCTTCCTTTTCTTTTTACATTACTCTCTAGTATCACCACTTATCTTCAGCACTTATATTGTGACCTATTTGTGTCATATTATGACCTATTTGTGTCATATTATGACCTATTTGTGTCACATTATGACCTATTTGTGTCATATTATGACTTATTTGTGTCATATTATGACCTATTTGTGTCATATTATGACCTATTTGTGTCGCAAGTGCCATAAAACACTTACTAAAACTAAATTATCACAACCTCTCCTGTATCCCTTCAAAGATGCAGCAGCGAACACATACTATGTCCGACAGCAGACCAAAGACATCGTTACAGCACATTTCAAACCATCATTCACAAACCAGAAACACGAATTTGTATATTATTTCTTAGTGTGCCTGTTAATGTTGCTTGACCTTTTAGCTTTCAAACAAGGTCAACCAAAAAAAATAGAAGGAAAAATTTGTGTGAACAACGAAAATATACCGTGGGTGGTTGGCGGGTGCTCTGGTGTGGTTTGCTTCTTCTTTTCTATCAAACATCTATCGTCCTTATCTCCCATCCTTCTTTTTTATGTTTGTTACTCTCTTGTAACACCTTTAATCTTCTGGCGCTCATATGACCTTATGCGGTTGCAAGTGCTGTAAAACCTCTACTAAAACAAACAACGAAAATATACCTAAAGACAGGTTGTCTTTTGGTTCTGTCAAATAGTCAGCATGAATGTCCTCATAAAGTTTTGCCACCCTTAATTTACTTTCTTTTTCTTTGTATGCGGCCCTCCCCAGAGCATCCCCATCACCAACAAACAGCAGCTGTCCAAACAGCAGCAAGGGCTGTTGCAACAGCAGGTGGACCAGGTCCCCCGTCGCGACCAGCAGCGTGTGCGCCCGCAGTCTCGCCCGGAGGGTGTGTTTGAACCCGTGGAAACTTTCAACGTTCAGAGCTCTGTGAGTACAGCCTGCATAAGGATAACACTCACATGCACACACGCTCGCATGCATGCATGCATGCACACACATGCACAGACATGCACACATGCACACATGCACACACAGACACGCATACTCACACACAGAAACACATGCGCACAAAGACACACACACATACACACACAGACACACGTACACACTTAC